AATTGTAATTGTAATTGTAAATACAATTCGTTGTAAAATTGTATTTACAATTCTACAATAATTGTAAACTTGTACTACACAGTCTGCGTATTTAAGTTAAATACTCAATATTTAAACCAATTTATGTTTCAGATGTATTCAGATGTGTTGTTTTGTTTCATTGACAATTTCAATGAATGACTTCCAGTCTAAAAGACTTTTTAGCATTATAATTCATATTTGGAAAAATTAAATAGTTCGATTGATGAGATTGATTTTTGTGTTTGTGACAAATCGTTAGTTGTAAGTCCTTAATCTGAGTTTGCCGATGACATGGAAGTTTAGAAGCGGTTGGAAATAAAATAATTTTTAGTCAAAATAAATACAAAACCTATAAATTGGGAATATAATTTTGATATCGATCGCTTTTTCTTTTTGACTGTCACATTCATTATTGAAAAACAATTTTACAATTATTGTAAAATTGTAAATACAATTGTAAATACAAGTTTACAATTATTGTAGAATTGTAAATACAATTTTACAACGAATTGTATTTACAATTACAATTACAATTTACAAAAATTGTAACAGTACTGTGCAACAGGCCCCTGTTTATTCAAAAAATGAATGTTCTTTGCAATTCTATGTTTTTTTTAAGTTCATTTATCTTTGCTCACAAACGAATTTGTCGAATTTGATTTTGCATCGTAATACTTCCATAAAAGAGTCGAGTAATCAACTTGCAATGAGTTAAATAAATGAATCATAGCGTTTATAAGAAAGTCTGATTCTTACACTTGAACGCCATGTAAACAGAAGAAAGCGAAACGCGCATAGCCTATTGATTTGTGTATAGACGTTCCAATTTCGCGAGAATTGCTGATTTGTCAATTAATCAGTTAATCAGAATAAACAATTCGACCGTGTACACTTCGCTGTTTGTCATGGAATCAAAATACGGAGAGCACAGTATTCACTTGTTCATTAACCGAAACAGATCGATCATAGAAATTATTTTGATCAGAATCAAAACCGAAAAGTGATTGTTTTTATCAGTGAGCGATATGGTAACTTTAAAAATTACTTGTAATAAATGTTTTGTAATCTTATATTGAATTGTTTTTTAAGAACAAGAAAAAAAAATCTGGTCATGAAAATAAGAAAATCAGGGAGCAAAAAGAGGCCGAAATAAAAAAAGCTACATCAGACATACGGAAATTCACAGGTGAATTTTTTTGAAATTCGATAAGGCTACGATTTGATGTGGTTTTAAACTGGAATTTTCCGATTATATTTAGGTGCAAGTGCACCAACTACTTCTGCCAGTGTTCCTAGTGCATCTATTCACGATCAAATCCATGACGATATTCTCATGGAAAACCTCGACGAAGCTCACTTCGAAGGTAAAATAATGTTCGTTTTGATTACTTTCCATTGATAGTATGGGCCAGGAACGATTAAGTGGATTAACCATAATTTCCATCGAAAATGATATTGCAAGTGACATAAATTATGATGAAGTTATCCATGAATTTGCGTCTGCTAAAGCAAGAAAAGGTGTATTCAAATAGCTATATCTCTTTTCACACACTTCAACAATATTGAATCAACATGAACATCTTTACACAGTATTATACAAGTATTTTTCAAAGATCCAAAGAATTAACCAAAACGTATTATAAACTAAACTTTAAAAAAAACAATAAAGATATTTCTTATTATTGTAGAAGTAAAAATTATTGCTCGAATTTTCATTATTTAATTTATATTAAACAATTTCGGAAAAGGCGCAAAATTTTCGTTTGCATCGGGGCGCAATTTGGTCTCGCTGAGGCACTGCCGGGCCGGATAACGTTCCAAATAAGTTTCTACGAAATTGTGCTTCTTCAATTGTAGCTCCAATCACTAAGCTGCTCAGTGAATCGCTCCAAAGTGGCTGTACACCGATTCCTAGACCGATTCTTTGGAAAAAATCGTTTGTGCTTCCAATTCACAAGAGTGGAAAAAAGAATGCAGTAGAAAATTATCGTGGTGTGGCCATTCAATGTGGAATTCCGAAACTACT